AAAAAACTTGGCCTTTGCTCTTATCGCAAAATTATTCCTTCAATATGCATAATTTCAACTTAATCAAGTCAAAGTTGGTAACTAGAATCACATACAGCAGGTCCCGCCATAAGATCGGTGTCTATGCGAGACATGGGAACCGAAATGACCCCTATCCCGAGCCAGGAACCTTCTAGAAGCGCCACCCCTGTCAGCTCCACGACTCCTCTTCGCAGCCCGACTTCTTCCATTCCGTCGACCCCCCGCCGGGGGGCGCCGGCCCCCACCCCTACAGAACACGATATTTGCAATCAGACCCCTCAGGAGAAAACAGCCGAGCCCACCAACAGCAGAAAGGAATTGTCCGAGCAGGAAATGAAGCTGAGAACGAGAAGGGAGATTGTGGCGCTCGGTGTCCAGCTGGGCAAGATGAACATCGCAGCATGGGCCAGCAAGGATGAGAAGGGTATTTCTGGAAATGAAAATGTGGGTGATGACGACGATGAGGCCGAGCAGGTCGAGTATGCGAAACGGGCAGCTGCATGGGAGGAAGCTGAGAAGTCGAAACACTCTGCAAGGTCTTTTTTTTTTAATTTTTTTTCGTTTTATGTTTGTGGAATGTGCTCCCTCGGTTTGTAAATTGAAAGGTGATGAATTTGTTGTTTTTCAGATTCAAAAGGGAAGAAATAAGAATTCAGGCATGGGAAAGTCAGCAGAAAGCGCGGCTCGAAGCTGAAATGAGGAAAATTGAGGTACAATAGCTCGCGAATCCCGATATATGCATATTTGTACATTTATATCTTGAGTATATATTTGTTCATACTCAACATGAATTACACTAAACCCCTGAACTATATGGTTTTTGTTGTATTTTGCCCACAGCTGGTTTTATTTGCACTTTAATACATTGCTTGCTTTCCTTTTTTTCTTCTATTTTCACTTTGACCCATAGAAACCAAAATCTGTCACGTGCATTTGCGTGATTGAAAAAGGGAACCGATTTCTCTGAACGATGCGAAAAAGGAAGTAGCATTGTGCAATTAATGAAAAAGGAAGTAGCATTGTGCAAAAAAACTCCATGGCTTGAGGCTTTATTGCAATTTACTTCAAATTATTATTAAATTCTTTTTGTTTAAAAGTGTGAGGTTTGAACTTCAGGCCCAAATCGAGCAAATGCGAGCTCAAGCTCAAGCAAAGATGGTGAAGAAGGTAGCACTGGCAAGGCAAAAGTCGGAAGAAAAACGGGCCTCGGCCGAAGCCAAGAAAAACCGACAGGCCGAGAAAACAGCGGCCCAAGCTGAATACATTCGCCAAACAGGCCGGATTCCATCTTCTTCTCCTTTTCACTGCTGTGGCTGGTTGTAAATTCCAGCCCAATAAAATTTGAAACAGTTAAAATGGGCCAACTGTGTGTAGTACTTGTGTAGTACTTACTGCAGTTTCTGCATATTATACATGTCTTAAATTTACAGCCTCTTTGTAGTTGGTTGTGGTGACTGCTCCTTTTTTCATGTGTGGTTTAGTGTTTGAGTTGATACTTATTGCTGTAGTCATTGGGATGATAGAAGACGTTACGAGTTGTTAAACGAATCGAGTCGCTCGTGAGCTCGAATTGGCTCGCCTCCTAAACAAACCGGGTGCAGCTGTGCACACCAAACTAGTATATATAAATATATATCATTTTATTCACTCAAATATAGATTTTTAATTCATTCACTCATAATTTTATTTAACTATCAGTCATTTCATATTTCTTGTTTTTTATATTTTTTATTTTTACATCACATCTACTTTAAACATTATTTTTTAACTTATACCAAACTCAAAAGAAAAATCCAACTCAAACATCCACTCAATCAACGTTTTTTTAATTTAACTCGCTTTATCCTCAAAATCAAATTTTAAAATAGATGGTTTATCAAATTTATAGAAGTTCACTTAATGTTTGCTTCAACTTTACAAAGCACACTTCATTTAGAGCTTATTAACCATTAAAAATAATAAAGGAACTCAACTAAACGGACTTAATAGTTAATGGAACAATACAGGATGGGTCAAAGTGAATTCAGACGGAGTCTTTCAGAACAACACAAGCTGGAGTAGTGTTGGCGGCTTGCTTCGGGATGAGGTGGGTAGATGGGTTGCGGGCTTCCTCATGAATATTGGTTACACCATCAAAACGGGAGCCGAGTTTTGGGGTCTTTTCCAAAGTCTACAATTGGCTTGGGAGTTGGGCCTCCGCCAAATTATCGTTGAGGTTGATAGCTAGTGCGTTGCGAGAATGGTGCTTGAGCCCGGAGATAGTTTTGGAACTAATGATGCATTGGTCAGGGCTATTCGCAGCTTGTTGCAAAAAGATTGACGAGTGAGGATTCAACACGTGCATAGAGAAGCTAATTACGCGGCCGCATTTATGGCGAATTTGGCGTTTTCCTCTACGTTGGGGCTGCAGCGTATGACTTCCCCTCCCTCCAGTTTGGGAGCATGAATTGATCATGATCTCATCGGGGTGTCGCGTCCTAGACTCATCACTTTTCTAGACCTTTGGCCTCCTTATTTTGTACCGAATAAAAAAATGGAAAATACAATTTTATTATTATTATTATTATTAGAGGATCGTCAATCAGTTGTCCAATATGCTATTCTCGACTCTTGAATCATAATCAACTGTTTGCATAGCAAGATAGTACAAAAACCTAAAATAAAAAACACACGTTCACCGACCACAAAAAGTTGTTCAGATCAGACCAACAGTATAATTTAACTTGATCATAAAAAATACATAAAACTTCATTAAATTACACGAGAAACAGAACATTTATCACCACCAGGTCCCATTCAGAGGTCTGTCTGGTTCATTTTGCCTACAAAAAGCAAGTAATAAAAACTCGTCAAAACCCGTATAGAAATTTCAACTGTCGACTGACTTATGGTCATGATGCACGCAATCCAATTAATAATGAGCTGTAATGCGCATCAATGCCGGTTGCAGGAAGAGTCTACTCTTGAAATCATCAACAATTTCCCGAGAAAAAATATCGATGACAGAGGGCAAGCCAAAAGCCCATAATTTCACTCTCATTTTCACCAACTCCTTTAAGGTCCGAAAAGCGAGTAATCATGATTTCAAGATGTATACTATCACTCGACAAAACTGACAGAGGGCATCACAGTTTGTATACATCTCAACTTATCAGCAAAAGAACAACAACCAGTTTAGTTTTGTTGATTTATGTGTACATAGTACATCTCAACTTATCAGCACAAAAATTTACCACGAGCAACATCGAGCTCACGAAATCCGCTTCACTCAGCCAGCCAGTCCTCGAAACACTAACTCAGAAAGTCTCGAACTTTATAGCCTCATATTTCTTGCAACACTCATTTTTCCTCGAAATACCAATTCCTATTTTGTTCAACAAACTAAACATGAAAACAAAAAAAGCAAAAGAAAAAAAAAAGACGACTCAATCGAGGCCTCCACGATCGAGCATGTCGACCAAAGTCATCCTCCTTGGGAACCTCGGAGGCAGCCTCAGAACCATAGCATCCTCCATCTCGATCGGGAGATGTGTGGCCACAATTACAATACCGCCCTTCTTCCTATGCTCCCTTATAACAAACTCGAGCAGGCGGACCCCTTCATCATCGAGCGCAACCGAGGGCTCGTCCAGCAGCCATATCGGCCGATCAATGGCCAGCAGCCTTGCCAGCTGGAGTCTCTTTCTCTGGCCCATGGACAGCATACGGGCCTTCTCCTTAGCCAGCCTGCCCAGGCCCATTAACTCAATCGCGGCCATTGACCGCCCTTGCTTGCCCTCGAGGATCTCAAACCACTGGACATTATCAAGAACAGTGAACTTGTCCTTGATGGCGTCCTTGAGGGACAGCCAGTTGAGCTGGAGCTTGTACTGGTGGAACACGCCGGAATCAGTGATGTCGTGGCCATCCCAGAGGATCCGGCCGGCCGAGGGGCGGCTGAAGCCGGCGAGCATGCGGAGGAAGGTGGACTTGCCGGAGCCATTAGTTCCGGAGAGAACGAGGGCCCCGCCGTCGTGGATTGAGGCGTTGACGTGGCGGAGAATTTGCTGGGCGTTGCGCATGCACGACACGTCGCTCAGGAGGAGACGCGGGAGCTGGGGCCCACGACCGACCATTTTTTTTTTTGGAAAGAGGTTTCAAGAAAAAGAATCTACTCAATTAGCCTATGATGCCCAAAAACTCAAACCAATTACTTCTTCTCAATTAAGCCTGAATAACATATGAAGAAAATGAATTGGTTAATATATGCATCAAATGGTTGTGTAATCTTTGTATTAAAGCTAGAATGGAGAGAATCTACTCAATCTCTATCAACTGAACAACCAAAGACTTGTCCTAACAAGGGCTCAAAATAATCCATTCAAGCAAAGAAAAATTCAATTGATAAACCTCAGGTTGCTAGGAAAGAAAAAAAAAATAAAAAAATAACCTAGCTTACTAAATTCAAAAAATTATCAGTGATAACAAACAACAATGAACCAATTACCAAACTACATAGCCAACGCATCACACGTGAAACTGATTATTGAATTGATACCCAAAACCTTTCTTCCTTACTAAATTTGCGGATCCGCTGAAGCTTTCTGTTCTAGAAGCCATGAGAATAGGGTTCAGGCGGAATTGATGTGAGGCTCGCCGTACCCGGATGACGCATCGCGAGCGGTGGGCTGCCGGAGATTCGGAGTGCAGTCCGTTGAGATGGAACGAGACGTCGTCGCAGATGGCGGACGGAGACTAGGCCATGGAAATTTGATATGCAGAAGGAAGAATTTGGGGTGGTTTTT